GGACATGGGGACAGGAAGGGGACATGGGGATGGGGGAGTGATGGGGACAGCAGGGGAAAGGGGACAGGAGGGGGTCCTGGGGACAGGAGGAAGAAAAAGGGCTGGTGGGAGGTGATGGGGACAGTGGGGACAATGGGGACGTGAGCCCTGGGAGCACTGAGGGTGGTGACACAGGGACAGCGGGGATGAGCAGCACGGTGGGATGTGGGGACATCGGGGCCGTGGGCACACGGCGAGACAAAGCCACAGGCTGCAGACCCCCCCAGGAGCCCCCCAGAGCCAAGCTGGGACCGTGAGCAACACCATGGGGGGGGTAGAGGGGGCAGGGGAGGTGACAGCGGCTTGGGGACAGAGGGACAGAGGGACAGAGGGACAAAAGGGCACGCGGCGGGCTCTCACCGTGCCCTGGCACGGCGGCCGTCCCTGCAGGGCCGCGCTCTCGGTTGAGGACGGTGCAGGGAACTGCGAGGAGGAGGAGAGACGGCGACGTCACCCGAGGTCCCCGAGGCGGGGTGACAGCGAGGGGGGGCGGCTTTGGGGACGCTCTCACCCTTCTTCTTCTTGCGGCCCGGCCGGCCCCGCTTCAGCTTCTTGATGCGGCCGGCGGGGTCGGAGCGCGCGGAGGCGCTGTGCACGCTCGAGCTCTCGGCGTCCGACTCCTCCTCCGCCTCCCCGGCGTCCTCGCTCTGTGGGGGGGGTGGCAGTTGGGGACACGGGGATGTGGGGGACGTGGGGACAGGGGGGTAGGGGGGCAAGGGGACGTGAAGATGTGGGGACGAGGGGATGAGGGGATATGGGGACGAGGGGACGGGGGACAGGGATGAGAAGATTTGGGGACGGGGGGGATACAGGGACATGGGGACGGGGGGACAGGGGGATGATGGGATATGGGGACGAGGGGATGTGGGGACAGGGGACATGGGGATACAGGGACAAGAGGACCCAGGGACATGAAGACATGGGGATGAGGGGACGGGGATGATGGGATACGGGGATGGGGGACATGGGGACAGGGAACATGGGGACAGGGATGAGAAGATTTGGGGACGGGGGGGGATACAGGGACATGGGGATGGGGGACACGGGGACAAGGGGACATGGAAACAAGGGGACAGGGGAATTATGGGATATGGGGACAAGGGGATGTGGGGACAGGGGACATGGGGACGACAGGGTTTGGGGACAGGGGACATGGGGATATAGGGACAAGGGGACATGGGGACATGAAGACATGGGGACATGAAGACATGGGGATGAGGATATTTGGGGACATGGGGACACAGGGACGAGGGGACACGGGGATGAGGGGGATGAGACGATTTGGGGACAGGGGGTCACAGGGATACAGGGACATGGAAACAAGGGGACGGGGGGATGATGGGATATGGGGACGAGGGGACATGGGGACAGGGGACATGAAGACATGGGGACGAGGGGACATGAGGATGAGGGGACATGGGGACATGGAGATGAGGGGACGTGGGGACACGGGGTCACAGGGATACAGGGACACAGAAACAAGGGGGCACGGGGATGAGGGGACACAGGCAGCGGTGACAAGAAGGGACAAGAGAGGCTCATGGAGGAGAATGTGGGTCTGGGTGCCCCCGCAGGCTCATGGCCGGGGGGCCCCGCGACCCGATAGCGCCACCCCCGCTTTGGGGACACCGGGGGGGGGGCCACCAGGGGGGGGACCTCACCGAGCTGCTCTTCTTGCGCTTGCCGCCAATGACGCCCAGCTTGATCTTCAGCGGCGCCATCTTCTTCCCCTTCATCTTCCTCTTCAGCTCGGGCACCCGCGGGCTCTTGCTGCGCTTCTTGTGGCCGGGGCCTGGGGGGGGGACAGGGCCACCATGTCCCCAAGGGGCACAAGGGGACAGGAGGACATCGCAAAGAGGATGTGGGAAGCAGAGGGGGCAGCGCTGCGGCCACAACGGGAAGGGGACCCCAAGGTGTGGGAATGATGTCCCCAATGAGGAATGGGACCCTGGGGTCTGGGCATGATGTCCCCAACCAGGAATGTCACCCAGGGTCAGGACATGCTGTCCCCAACCAGGAATGTCACCCAGGGTCAGGACATGCTGTCCCCAACCAGGAATGTCACCCAGGGTCAGGACATGCTGTCCCCAACCAGGAATGTCACCCAGGGTCAGGGCATGGTGTCCCCAACCAGGAATGTCACCCAGGGTCAGGACATGGTGTCCCCAACCAGGAATGTCACCCAGGGTCAGGACATGCTGTCCCTCACCAGGAATGTCACCCAGGGTCAGGACATGCTGTCCCCAACCAGGAATGTCACCCAGGGTCAGGGCATGCTGTCCCCAACCATTAATGTCACCCAGGGTCAGGGCATTGTGTCCCCAACCAGGAATGTCACCCAGGGTCAGGGCATGGTGTCCCCAACCAGGAATGTCACCCAGGGTCAGGACATGCTGTCCCCCACCCATAATGTCCCCCTGGCGTCCCGCAGCCCCCACCTTTGCCCTCCTTGGTCTTGGCTTTGCGCAGGGGAGGCGGCGGCGCCTCGGGAGCCACGGCAGCGACGGCGGCTGACACCTGCTCAGCCACGGCGGCGGCGGCAGCGGCGGCGGCGGCGGCCACGGCGGCGGCGGAGCCCTTGAAGGGGTTGTTGGCGCTGAACTCGCGCCACTTGGCGCCCAGGATGGTCATCATCTTGGACATGGGGATCTTGGGGTTCTTCTTGGCGATCAGCGGCCTGCGGCGGGCGGCAGCGCGGCTGGGAACCCCACCCAGGGCCCCCAGAGCACGGCAAGGTGCTCCCACGGGGACCCCGGGGGCTGCAAAGCACCCAAAGGTGCCCACAAAGCACCCAAAAGGGCCTTCAGCCGCCCACAAAGCACCCCAAGGTACCTACAAAGCACCCCAAAGTGACATCAGCCGCCCCCAAAGCACCCCAAGATACCTACAAAGCACCCCAAGGAGCCCACAAAGCACCACAAGGGGCCTTCAGCCGCCCCCAAAGCACCCCAAGGTGCCCACAAAGCACCCAAAAGGGCCTTCAGCCGCCCACAAAGTACCCCAAGGTGCCCACAAAGCACCCAAAAGGGCCTTCAGCCGCCCACAAAGTACCCCAAGGTGCCCACAAAGCACCCAAAGGGGACTTCAGCTGCCCACAAAGCACCCAAAGGTGCCCACAAAGCACCCAAAGGGGACTTCAGCCACCCCCAAAGCACTCCAAGGTGACTTCAGCCGCCCCAAAAGCACCCCAAGGTGCCCACAAAGCACCCAAAGGGGCCTTCAGCTGCCCACAAAGCACCACAAGGTACCCACAAAGCACCCCAAGGTGACTTCAGCCGCCCCCAAGGCACCCCAAGGTGCCCACAGAGCACCCAAAGGGGTCTTCAGCCGCCCACAAAGCACCCCATGGTGCCCACAAAGCACCCAAAAGGGCCTTCAGCCGCCCACAAAGCACCCCAAGGTGACTTCAGCCGCCCCCAAAGCACCCTAAGGTGCCCACAAAGCACCCAAAAGGGACTTCAGCTGCCCCCAAGGCACCCCAAGGTGCCCACAAAGCACCCAAAGGGGACTTCAGCCACCCCCAAAGCACCCCAAGGTGCCCACAAAGCACCCAAAGGGGACTTCAGCCACCCCCAAAGCACCCCATGGTGCCCACAAAGCACCCAAAGGGGACTTCAGCCGCCCCAAAAGCACCCCAAGGTGCCCACAAAGCACCCAAAGGGGACTTCAGCCGCCCCCAAAGCACCCCAAGGTGCCCACAAAGCACCCAAAGGGGACTTCAGCCACCCCCAAAGCACCCCAAGGTGACTTCAGCTGCCCCCAAGGCACCCCAAGGTGCCCACAAAGCACCCCAAGGTGCCCACAAAGCACTCACAGGGGCCTTCAGCTGCCCACAAAGCACCACCAAAGCACCCTGAGGTGCCTTCAGCCGCCCCCAAAGCACCACCAAAGCACCCTGAGGTGCCTTCAGCCGCCCCCCCCGGCCTCACCTCATGAACTGGCTGAAGGCTTTGTAGTTGGTGAGCGTGTGGTAATCCTCCTCGGTGAAGATGTGGTCCACGTCCTCCAGCCCCCACGCGCCCAACAGCTGCGCCGACGACTTCTGCTCCACCGGCTGCGGCCCCACGGGGACAGGAAGGTCAGCATGGGTGCGTGGGGACCCCCAGCTGCACCAGGAACCCCGCAGGCTCAAAACAGGCACCAGGACCCCCCCCCACAGGGACAGGAAGGTCAGGACGGGTGTGTGGGGACCCCAGCTGCACCAGGACCCCTCCTCAGCTCCAACACAGGAACCAGGCCCCCCCATGGGGACAGGCAGGTCAGGATGGGTGCGTGGGGACCCCCAGCTGCACCAGGAACCCCCCCCAACCCCAACACAGGCGCCAGGCCCCCCCCCATGGGGACAGGCAGGTCAGTGTGGGTGCGTGGGGACCCCCAGCTGCATCAGGACCCCCGCAGGCTCAAAACAGGCAGCAAGACCCCCCTCCATGGGGACAGGAAGGTCAGCATGGGTGCGTGGGGATCCCAGCTGCACCAGGACCCCTCCTCAGCTCCAACACAGGCACCAGGCCCCCCCATGGGGACAGGAAGGTCAGCATGGGTGTGTGGGGACCCCCAGCTGCACCAGGAACCCCCCCCCAGCCTCAACACAGG